TGATGCATCGCCATGGGCTGACACAGGACACAGTAGCCTTGCAGGTTGTCGCAATCAGACTGTTACTGCCAGTCGAGCCGAAGAGACGAGTTTGTGTCATCTCCGTGTCGTGTTGCTTGCTGCTTGGGTATGGACAGACTTCGCCATGAAGAGGTGAGAGTTGTTCCAAACCAGGGTTGCGTTGGGATGCTTGAACGAGTACTGACAGGATATACCATGAGAAAGATAAGAGGGACCGCACTCTGAACTAGATAGAACGAGCTAGACCTTGGATGTGAGCCATACAACATAGAACACTTCAAGACAGAGGTTCTTAAAAGTCATCACGGCCCTGAGCGGGACAATAATTTCGAGCCGCACCGTAAGGTCAGCAGCTTGCAGCTGAATCCCACCCTGGAGGACTCCGCTGTTTGTTTTGCACTGGATGCCCGATCAATGCAAGCGAGAAAAACTTCTTGGCGATTCAGCACAGAGAGCAGCCGCTGACGCCAGCTGATAAGATTTCATCGGAGTTGTGCTTACCTTGATTCCCTACAGCGGCTTTGCTTCGTGAACCCCAAACGCTCAACCCACAAACCCTGAACCCTCAACCCTAAACCCTGAACCCTAAACCCTAAACCCTGAACCCTAAACCCTGAACCCTGAACCCTAAACCCTAAACCCTAAACCCCAACAGAGACTCCGAGGCCTATGACCAGAAGCTCAAGGGCCTTCTCATCCCCTAAACAGCCACAAAGTCCGGGATGAAGGGCCTCCAAAAGAAATTAGGGTAGCTGACCCGGAGGTCCTGTTTTCACCAGGATCCCCTTTCTGATTTTGGAGCTGAAGCCCCTAATTTAGGCGTCTCCTCGTTTCTGAAACGACCGACGTCCAAAAAGGCTCGCGACTTGGAGGCGTTGGCCTCGAAAGTCTGCTGCCAAGAGGAGGCCCGGCCGACCTGACCGGAGCGTGGAAGTATCCTCCTCTTGTGTTCGGGGTTTAGGGGTTTAGGGTTTAGGGCTTAGGAGCAGTAGTGCGTCTTCCTTCAAGAGCCATGTCGACTTGATCATGTGCGGGCTGTTCTGAATGAAAGTTCCTTGGCCACCCTCCAATGGTTTACTGGAGGACACGTGTCGCCCCATGCTGCCGAACATATTCCCATTCTACTTTCTCTTGTCTCTGTGATATCCACATATATCTACATAACAGTAAACCCCACTTCGATGTTGTGGCAGGCTGTTGCGAGACTGCGCGCCGACGTCGACGAGCTGCAGCTACTGAACCGGAAGGTCTGATTTGGTAGGGTTTGTGCAGAGACGTCTATGGGCAAACCCAAGTCACTTGGTTTCGGGGAGCTATAGCTGTATGTCTGGGGGAAAGACGGTTCCTGATGACTATATTTCAGGCTCCGCTAGGGCTTTTCGGCGCTGAGTGTACTTGCGGCGCGCATTCGCGAGTCCGAGGTACAGGAGTTGTTCGCAGCTTCAGGGTCTTCGGCAAGGGACTTTTTGACCAGGATCTAAACCCGAAGGCCGCCACATGAAAACTCCCCTGCTGTGGAACAACGTCTCGGGCAAGGCTTCTTAGGCGCTGCTTCGGGTCCGGACGTATTAAGCTATAGTGATAAATTAGGGTTTAGGGTTCAGGGTTGGGCCCTAGGGAAGAAGAATAATAGTGAACCTTCGGGAATTAACATTTCTAGCTATTCAGTTCAGTCTTCCGTGTGAGGTTTCAGCTAGGGCTTGGGAAGGCCCTGTCCTAAACCCTAAGCCGAAGCCACAATCCCGACCCTTCAACCTCGGGGCACCCTTACTTCAAAATCCCGCGACAGTTCTTGCCACAAGACTCTCAAAGCTCCCAGCCCCAGACCCTCAGGCCCTGCAACAAGCAAAACCCCAAAGCCAAACCACCAGACCCTCAACCGTAGCTTGGCAAACTCTGGGCCAGGTGGCTTCCCCGACCTCGAAGGTGTCTCCTCTGGCCATGGCACGCGGGAGGCTCTTGTAGTAGTGACGGATTTAGTTTTGTCAGGGTTGTTGTCACGAGAGTAGAGTAGAGTATAGTGTACACTAGGGCAGTCGAAGTCGAAACGGATTCTTTGCGAGACGGCTAGTCTTTGAATGTTGCTGTGGATGAGAAGTCGTGTTGTCAGTGAACATCCAACAAAAGACAGCCGCAGCCAATGTCGTCTGAAGCGCCAAAATTTCTGGTGCCTTGCTCGTTCAGTGCAGAGACTGTGGACACTTTTCGACGGCGATGCTCGAAAGATCACCCCTGCTGCCCCTGTGTCCTGATCGAGCCCATGGCCGGTGCCGCCGGGGCGAGCTACTGGAGTCGGCCAACCACTTGGCCCGCGAGGAGGAGACTGCCCCGCACGTCGTCCTCCACAAAGTTCGGAGATCCGTGGTACCACATTTCCATTTGGCAAGGACGTTCTCGAAGAGCATTTCCTTTGCAACACTGGCAACCAGGTACGCTCGGGGTGCCCCTGGTTGACCAAACGACACCGCGAAGACTACTGAAAGCGATGAGCATCACGATTCCTGATCGGAAGCCGGAAGCTCTGGTGCCCAGACCCAAGAGCTGCACGTCCTGGAGCCTCTACAAGGAGCAGATTTGCCGGTTGGGGGGGTGGGGGGAGGTGGAGAGCGAGCCGGAGCGCGTGATAAACAAGTCAACTGAACATGTCGTCTTGGAAAACACCGAGTATCTCGACAGGTCAGGTAGTAGCCGCTTAAGCTTTGTGGATATTTGCATGTACATATATACACATACATATACATATATATGTATGTATGTATGTATGTATGTATGTATGTATGTAATTATATAGTTATGTAGATACAGAAGTGTGTATTGTGTGTGTATACAAATGCACATGTAGGTGTATACATATATTATACACACATACACACATGTGGGTGCTTGTGTGTACGCATACATAGTTATGTGTATATATATATATGTAACATGAGCGTACTTGCTTTCGTTTCAATGTCTTTGGGACTTTTCGCCGGACAACTCAGGCATTTCGTGACTCCTTGAGCGACTGCTCAAAACGTGTCAGGCGATCTGAGCCGGAATTCTGTGGCGACCATGCCATCTCCACCAACATCAACACTGGGCACTGGTACAAGGAGCTGAAGACCAAGCAGGCTGCTAGCTTGGTGGACACGCCAGTGGACGCGAGCAAAGACCGTTTGAAGTTCATTGAAGCCTTCGCGACGGGGTGTCGGCCTGGTGCCTTCACGATGGCAGCGATTTCGCAAAAATCTCGGACAATGGCCTAATGGCCGGCTGCATCGCTGCATCCACGCGGCCTTTGAGATCAAAGCGCTCAAGATAAAGCACGTCAAAGCAGACCGGCCGCGCCTAGGCAAGGGACTTGGTGGTCTGTTGATTCTGGCTGCAGAGAAGCGCACGCACAAAGGTGAAGTTGAGCGTCCTGGACAGCAGTGAGCTTGCCAAGCGATGTCATGCCAAAGCGGTTTCAAGGTCGCCTCCTCGTCCCGGTCAACGTTTCCACCCTGTGTGTCCATGCGACAATCAGAAGATCAAATGTTTGCATATGGAGAAACGTGACAACTGAACGAACGTTTCAAAGTATCACTTTGCCGAGGCAGGACCTGCAAAACTGCACTGGCTTTCGTTGTGGTCGCACCACTGAACCCGTTTCAACCCAGCATGCCAGCATGCTCAAACACGGGAAGGGCCTGGCAGCAGGGGAGTCTCTAAAATCTTTGAGCCTTTCCTTTCTGCCAGGGGCACCCCGAGCCTCGAAGAGCTGGGCTGTACCGTATACAACCCCATAGGGTTGTATGCGGTACAGCCCAGCTCTTCGAGAATTTCCTTGATAATGGAGATGGTGTACCACGGTCTCCGAACTTTGTTGTGAGGACGACATGCAGGGCATCCGGGCCTCTCTCGAGCGGTCTCTTCCTCGCGGGCAAAGTGGTTGACAGGATTTGTTCATGTTTGGGAGATCATGTTGTTTAGGGGTGGATGTTCGAGGACCTGGATCACTGGTGTTTGCGTGTTTCCATGACTTTCGTGCAAGACTGTTGCTCTCACTAATTGCATTACCATTTAATTATTGTCGTGTGCGCGTGTTGAGGTTGACTGACTACGTTACATGTGCAATTATTGCTGAAACAGCTCTTGCTAGTGTTCTGATGTCGGTGTGCATTTTGCAAGCAGGTTCGAAGCTTCCGGCTTTTGGGGGGTGCATGGTCTCTGTTTCCTTCTTTTATACGATGGCTGTCACTACAGTTACATACTTGTACCTGCAGCCAGCTGTTGTGGTCCTCGAATCACTGCTGTTCGAGTCTTCTGCTCCTCTGCTGCTTCTAGTCACCGAAGTACTACGTCGTGTTTGCAAAATACTAGTCGGCACGTTCGTCATCGTAGTCGTAGTAGCTGTAGTCGTAGCCGTTGGAGTCATCATCGTCGTGGTTGTGGTGGTTGTCGTTGTCGTCCTCGTCGTAGTTGAGTCGTAGTTGTGGTCGCAGTCGTCACAGTCGTCGTCGTAGTGGTAATAGCAGCAGTAGCACTTGCAGTGCTGCGAGTGCTGGGAAGAGGAGGAGGAGGAGGAGCTTGCGGTAGAAGCCACGGCTGAAATTGTTGTTTATCTTCAGCGACATAGTTGCAGGTTTGGGTGGAGCCTAAACCAACACCTAGCACGCCTTTCTAAGATAGTGTTTGTGTTTCGATCTGCTGCCAAGTCTTACCGACTGCTTCAGAGCCGCGGAAGGCTCGACATGCTCAGTGCCGAGATGGACGAGTTGCATTCCCGCATGAGAGATGGTGCAGGCCCGGCTTGAGCCCTGGGAGTGGTTCTTTTTGGCTGGGACTGTGGCATGTTTTAGCTCTTCGGGCTGTCTGCGGCATGAGGGTTCAGATTCTCCGCGTTCTGGAGACAAGGCTTCTGCTAAACCGAATACTAGCAGCGGAAGATGAGAAACCAAAACTAGCCACGAGCCTGGGCCTGGGCCCATGGACTCGGAAGCTCCATGCCCTGAAATTGCAGCCCCAGCCGAGTACAAATCACATGTTGCGCATGACGGCAGGTGTGCCAGCGTCCAACGCCAAGCTCCAGGCCGTGCACAAGATTGGGGCTTGCGTCAATCATGCTACATCACGACTTCAGCATCACCGTCATTGCCGTCGTCAAGAAGGTGGTTGTGGCCGGGTGTTGTAGTTGTTGTCGTGGTCGTCGCCGCGGTTCCGGTCGTGGTCGTGGTCGTGGCGGTGGTGCTTGTGCTGCTTGTTGTTTTTGCTGGTCGTGGGAGTCTGGTAGTCCTGGTGGTAGTTGGCTGTGTCGGTGGTGGCGGGATCTTTGGAATAATATAGCATTCCGACGACTCCTGCAACCACCACCACCGCCGCCACCGCCACCGCCACCACCAGCACCACCAGCACCACCAGTAGCACCACCAGCACCAGCAGCACCAGCACCAGCAGCACCAGCTGCAGCAGCACCAGCACCAGCACCAGCAGCACCAGCACCAGCACCAGCACCAACTCCACCAGCACCAGCTACAGCACCTGTTTCTTCTGCTGTTTCTTACTCTTGGTCTCTATGGCATTACTGCTACCGCTGGCACTGCTCCCTCAACAGCCATAAGTCCCCATACCTTAACCCCCAAACCCCAAACCCTGCCGTCCCTAAAACCCTGCATTCCCCAACTCCTGACTTAGAGCCCCCACGGCCTGGATCTGCAGCCCCACAGGAGTGGCAGATGGCTCCGTGCGCAGGCCGCTGGGAACGTGGCTTCATTAGTCATATATTCTACTTTATGTCTTATGTCTTATATCTTACATATCATAGGTTACATGTTATATACAACAAGTATTTCATAGCGCGGAAGAGTCTATCTAGGGCTCTTGCGTAGCGCGTCAAGCCGTACAATCTAGCGAGGATGTAACCTGAGGGCAGGTTTACAAGCAAACCCGCGCACAGTCAAACCATATCGACCTTCATGACCCCAAATCTTGAACCCCAAACCCCAAACCCTAAACCTCAATCCTATAAACTTCAACCCTACCTCAAGGCCCACAGTGTCCACCCTAAACCCTAAGCCCTAAAGTTACCCTGCACCCCAGGCGACGCAGCCAACGGATCCTACGAGACGCAGGTGGCCGCTGGTTAGGGATCCGAGTGGCTGGAGTACGGCTTTTTGGGGGCTTAGGGTGTGGTATGGAGGGTTTTTGAAGGGGTCGAACCCTTTGGTCCGATCCCCGAAGCTGGATGAACCTAACCTGCAGAGTTTCCCCTCTAGAGGGGCCCTTTGGTGAAGCCTTACCTGGGGTAGCTTTCCATCGTCATTCGCCAAACCCCCAAGCCCTGAACCCTTGAAACCCCCGACACTCTGAACCCACAACCCTAAGCCCTAAGCCCTATAAGCCCTTTGGCTGCTAAAACTCGGGATGCCGGCCCACTCCGACTTCTGCCCCCGTCTGCTCAGGCCATGCCAGGACCGCGATCTGCAGGCCGCCATCTCCCTCTTCATGTTTAGGGCCTTAGGGATCAGTAGTTACCATGATCAATGATAACCACAACTCGTATGATATTATGAGTATTCGTATCATCCGTCGTTGAGGTCCATGCGAATCCGAAGTCGAAGAGCATACTGGGTTCACGATCAATACAGCTCGGTGATGCGATGGCATCTCTGCATGAGGCCTAGCCCAGTCACCTTTGCGCACGGCCGTGGGCTGATGTCTCCCACAGGCTGGCATAAAAACCCAAAAACCAAAAACCCTCAAACCCTTAAGCCCTAAAACCCCAATAGAACCCTATAGATTCCTTACAGGAACCCTGAAACCCTGTTTATTTGGGAGCAATGCTTTAAGGCATGGGCCTTCGTAAACGCTTGGGAGGGCATCTTTTGCGAAGTAAGTAGCTGGCTGGCTCCCTGAAGCCTGAACCGTGAGTGGGGTGTTTGGGCGAGCGTTTATGCTGACTGGCAGAAGTGATACCTAGATTCCTAGCCAGTGATTGCTAGAATCCCTTTGATTTGAGTCACGAAAATATGCAGAGCAAAGATAGGATTCCGAGTTTTCTTGACACAGAGCCCAAGCCCCCAGCCTCAAACCCTACAGCCTAGGCCCTGAGTTTGCACGGCCTACTCTGTGCACCCTATCCTACCGTACCTGCCCCTGCCCTGCGACATCCTACCTTAAACCCAAAGAGCCTCCCTGTTTTCAGGACTTGTATAAAGAAACTATGCAGGGGGCCCTGGGTCGACCAGAAGAGGGCGCTCCTCTTCACGACTCGACACGTTCAGCTGAAAGATCCACGGGAGGAGAAACGGGCCCCAAAAGGCAGACCTAGTAGTAGTGGTGGTAGTGGTGGTGGTAGTAGTAGTAGTAGTAGCAGCAGCAGCAGCAGCAGCAGCAGCAGCATCCTTATGATACTCGTACGCATGGACCCATGGATCTTCAAGACCCTTGCTTCGGGCTTCAACACAGAGCTGTCTCACCTGCTTGTACTCTCCAGGCACCGCCAGCCTGAAGGATCTGAATTCGGAGAAAAAGTAGCACACGACAGCCCGACGCGCGAAACGCTGAACCTTAAAGCCTGCATCCGGAGCGGATCCAAGCACTGTAGGCCAGAGCTCTCGAAGCCTCGCAGACGCAATCGTTTCCGTTTTCTGCTGGGGGATTTGGGGCATCAGCTGAAGGCCAAAAGGAACGAGGTTCCCGGGTTGGACAAGAGGCAAGCTTTGTAAGTTCTGTTGTATCTGTCCAGAAGCCTTTGCACTGCCGGGCAATGACCACCATACTCAACCATCCCGCCCTTCACCGTTATTTCAGCCCTTCTCGTGTTCAGAGGCCGTTTGGTTCACGACCTGGCGAAGGAAGTTACCCGTACTTGAGTTCGTGGTGAACGGTCTTGCGACCCCTTGCCGTTGTCTCCGTGGCTGTTTGGCTTTGTAGGGGTATGTCCCTGCGTGGTGCATCACAGAGCCATGACAGCTTGTGTGAAGCAGGCTCGTCGGCTTTCGCGTTTCAACGGTCAAAGGTTGTAAGCTTGACGAGCCAGTGGGCTCAGATGTTGAGCGCCAGGATGCAAGCTTTTTTTTTGCTCTTTGCTGCATTCAAGCAGCATGCCTTTCCTTCCAAATGCTCATCCAGTTGTAGTGCGACCTCCCTCAACCTTCGTTCGACACAGTCTCTCTCTGTCTCTCTCTCTCGTCTCACGCTCTCTCTTCCTGTGGGTGTGTATCTCTCTCTCTCTCCCGCTCTCTCTCTTGCTCTCTCTCTCTCTGTCTCTGTCTCTCTCTCTCTCTCTCTCTCTCTCTCTCGCTCGGGTCTTCTGCACATCCGTGCTCTGTCTGCCCTCCAATCCAGCGTTAAAGCCTGAAGCAAATGAAACCACATGTATGAGCTTCAAAGGTACCTGCATTGATACGACAGAGGCAAATTCACACATGAGTAGACGCACGAACTCACACATTCATAGCTTTGCATGTGCCGGTGAAGAAGCTAGATACACAATTCAGTAGCGTATATGTGGTTGTCAATTCCCGCATACTACACACAGATGTCTCTGCACATGCAAGTGCAGCTGAAGCCAGCCTCCGTTGTGCCTTTGGTGGTGGATACTCTCAATGTCTCACAGTCCTGGCCTACAGACCTTTGAGAGGCCACTGCGCGTGGCCCGATGGTCAGCAATTGCTACTGGGCACACGATTAACTTCAATCTTCAAGTGCACTTGCATGAACTGTGCTCCAGCATCTCACCAGACGCTTTTGCTTCGGAAGGAATCATCAGCGCACGTGTCTGGTTCAGGCTGGTTTCCGAGCCCCTGACCTGAACCCTACATGCTGAGCCCTTCAACACTTAACCTAACCAGCGAACTAGACGTGGAGCCGACATTCAAAGTCCCAGAGCTTGAGGTGAATAGGTGATTTCAGTAAGTAGGTACTTCTTTGCCGCCTGAGTCTGATGTGGTCGGTTTCTACCTGTTGTCCAACGCAGTATCCTCGAGATTGCAGACATGTAAATGAAGGCCCCGGCGCTGCAGATTCGTGAAGCGCCCCTCTTCGTAAGATTGCCTGGCAAAGCTACTATCCCAAAACCATGTTGTGCTGGTGGGTATCCCCGATCCTTTGTAGAAGCCCTGGTAGAAAGCCTTATAGTAACCCCTTTTAGTCATCTGCCATAGCAACCTTCATGACAACCCTTCTGCTTACAACAACCCCGAACCCGAGATCTCCTTCAGCCGAGGCGCCGAGGGCGCCGGCCCTCCTTCGGCAAAGCAGGCCCTTGCATCCGACTCTCAAAACAGTACTCTAGGGGCCATGTAAGAAGTAGAGTAGGGTTCCTTTACAGGGTACGATAAGGGTTCCTTTAAGGATTCGAGGAAAGGATCTAGAACGGGCGGGCTCTTTACTATAGGGGCCTGAAGGATTCGAATAGGTTTTAGGGGGTAGATGACACTATAAGGAAATGTAAGGACTCGTATTGTAGCTGTTGAGACCCCTATAGTAGCCCCGAAATCCACCCTAAAGAAAAGGCCTCAGAACTCCTAAAGCCTCAATCCTACAGCCCAAACCATAAGAGACGGTACCCATGAAGTCGGTGCGTTCAAGGACACCCTGTAAGCTTCCTCGGTTTCATTCATGTGGGCATGGTTTCATAGCCATACGCACACTGCTCGACGGTAACAAGAAGTCTCGTACCAGCCAAGGTAGACGAAACCAAATCTTGCTACAGCTGCTGTTGTTGCTAGTTTTGCCTTTTTCGTCATTGTTTCGACATGGATGGCTGCGACGACGGCGGTCGCAGCAGCCAGTAATGGTGGCAGCACCTGTACTGGCAGTAAACAGAGGAACGGCAACGGTGGCGAGAGCAGCAGGGGCGACTCGATCGTTCACTCACGTTGAGATAACGGTGAACATAGGCATAGGCTTGGTTCCCATGTCATTGCTAGCAAGAGTGGACTTGGGTATGAGTTTAATGTCATGATCCTCACAAGCTGAGAAATAGCAGGTTGCGAGAGTCTAGTGGAGCCCCACACCCTCAGCCGTCCTGAGGCATGCAGAGCAGGCAGATCTTGTGGATCCTGGTTCCTGGGTGTTCCTTGTGAGAGTCTGTTCAGCAGGGCCGAGGATGCCAAAAATCCAAAACCCTAAAGTCTAAAACCCGAAGCTGCTGGAAGCTTGGAGCTTTAAACCCCGCAGACAAACCTAGACCGCTATGGTACGCCCGATAGTAACTCTTACAGTACCGCTTGCCGCATAACCCCAAACTTGACATGTCCAGGTGTGGTGGTCTTTCGAGTTCAAGGCTTTGTCCGCGCGATTTGCTGGTGCCACGTCTGTCAAAGACGTGCCGGACTGAGCCGTTCATGTCATCTGAGGTTCAGGCTCAACGACCCGGGCTGGGGCAAACCTTTCTCTTTCCTTTGGTTGGTAGCTTGGGCGGCTGTGAATGTGTCTCTTGGAGAAGGGGTCTGGTTTCATGGGCGATGAGGGCATCATCGTCGTCACCCCTCCATCACCCATCTCGCGATCACCCATCACGCGTGGAACCTTACGTCTTACAGGTTCTGACCCCGAAACCCCCTAGTATGTGCGGGTGGCGTCCGAAGCTTATCGATGCGATGGTAGCAGCCATATCCATTAGCCCGGAATCAAAGCTCTCATAAAACTCCTCAAGTCCTACACCCTACAACTTACAACCCCTGACGCAACCTGAATCCTAAACCCTGCTCCTTTTTGTAATAACCTAAGGCCCTTAAGCCCTAAGCCCGAAACCCCGAAGTCCTAACCCTAAACCCTAAACCCTAAAGCCGAAGTCTTAGACCCCAAGCACCAGATCGCACCAGGCGGGCCTTGAGAGCGACCCCATGCAGATCGAGGTCTTCTCGTTTGGTCTAGGGTTTAGGGTTTTAGGGTTTAAGGTTAAGGGTTTAGGGTTTAAGGTTTAGGGCTTAAGGCTGAGGGTCCAGGGTTCAGGGTTTAGGGTTTGATCGTACAGTGTTTCTTGTGAAAACGTGCACTTTAGGGGGTAGTGTAAGGGATACTGCCGGGGGCCATTATAAAGGTTACTACAAGGCCTTTGTGGCAACCCTTTCGGAAACCTGTCTAGCACCACCCCAAACGATAAACCCTATACATAAACCTTCTGGTGACCTCTATACAGGCCCTCTAGTAACCCTTATACTTACAGTAACCCTATCCCGAAGCCGATGGGTTGAGGCTTAGGGGGTTTGGGATGTAGAGGGTTTATAGGCAGCTGGATCCTTATCCTTGTGGGCAAGCACTGAACATCCAAGCGCGCTAGCTTTCGGGCTCAGGGAATTAATTGGGTTTTGGGTTCAGGGTTTAGGGTTTAGGGGTGGAGGAGGCTCTGCATGTGATCTCGCCAGAGGTGGACCCTAAACCCAAACCCTAAATCACAGGTGGATCTCTCCCACGTGCTCTCCGCGCAAAAGGGGTCGCTGGTCATTGAGGTGGTCGTCTCTTCCGGCTACCCGCAAGTCAGGCGCCTCCCCGTCGGTCGGTCCGATGGCTTCAGAAAGTCCCTATAGAAGCTCGCTTTTGGTATTTGTATGGGAACAATAAAAGCGGTTATTAGCTTATTAGCATTATTATTGTTATCATTATGGTTATTATCAGTTAGTGTTATTATTCCTGTAGAAGCTCATTTCGTCAAAGGCCCAACAGTCGTCCAAGTGAGAGCGGGACAGTCCCTTCTGAGTTTTCGCT